CAACTTCATTTTCAGTATTATATGGATCCTTTGTAAACATTGCCAACAGTTTTGACAAGGCACCTAATCATCTCCATAATTACGCAACCCAGTTTAGTGTGGTATCGAGACTGCACTATAAAAAGCAACAAAAGTTAGCATTGAATATATATATTTATATTTTGTTTTATTTGTGCAGTCTTTTGATGATTTAGAGATTCAAAGGTGAAGCTGACAGAAATGATGAGAATAGATCTGGTTTTTCACCTATTCTCACTATTCAGGATTCTGGATTGTTGTTGATTTTTACACAAAAAACAACATTTATTTTTGTATTTTGTTTGTATATTTGCAGCATAATTTCTTCATATTTTGTGTGTGTGTTTGTGAGGTGAGAGGGTGGGTAAAGGCACAGGTATGTCACAATTACCACCTACCTTCTTTTGCAATTACCATCATCAATTTCTTCTTCTTCACCATCATCTGCAGTAATTGTAAACTGCGTTGCCATTGTCATTAATGTTATTACTACCACCACTGTTATTGTTGTGGTCATCCTCTCCTGTTCTTTGTAAACACTATCCTCATCACGTTCAACATAATCAATCTTCATTACCATTTTCATTTATTTGATTGAAGCTCTCAAATAGTCTTCTTTCATAGTCTCGTCATTATCATCACCACGACTATCCTGTCACAGCATCTCCATCAGCATCCCTACTGTCATGTCATCCCAACAATATCATCCCAGTCTCCAGCCATCATTATCATAATTACCATCTCAATCATCATCTTTGCCTTCACCATTATTGTCAATAGTCATCACACCTTCCTCATTACCACTGTCAGCATCTTCATTTCCGCCAGTATTTCATTTATTTAGGCTGCAGCCCTTGAGCCAGACATTACTGAATCATTTTCACCGCCTGCTCTTTGATCTCCACTTCAAGCCTGGCTGATCTCCACCACATCATCTCATAAAGACCTTTACATCCCATCTGTGTTCATACACACGTTACCACTCCCGCGCCCCTGCAGACGGTGGCAAAACAATGCTGAAATGTAGGTCAAACGGTGGTCTGTTCAAAATCGTGTCCCATAGGGAAGAGAAAAAAAAATCACATGATCTAACAGGATGTCAATAATGAAGTCGGTCGTTCTTACCTTCCACCACCCCACAAATAAACTGCTTCTTCTCCTCCATGCTGTCCTCAGCCCCGCTGCCTCCCTCCGCGGAGGACGAGATGCTCTCCCCGTCTGTGAGCTTAGACACCGGGGATATTCTTCATGCTTCTCCTCGGTGCGCCTCCACCTCCTCGTTTCCCCTCTCCTTCCCTCTATAAGGCTGGGGCTCTTCGTGCTGCGTTCACGTGCTCAGCGCAAGCACGTGAATAATAATAGAATTAATAATAATAATAGTCACCCTGAGAAAGAGGTCGTTTTGGTGGTTGAGTTAATACAGCGAAAATTATAATAGAGATACACCTATCTTACTTTCTGCTGTGGTGACAGAAGTTAGGTTTATTGTTAAATATTATTGTATAAAGGATATGTTAACAAAGTGAAGTATCTTTACAATAAAACCGCAGAATTAAACAATAAAATAGGCAAAAATAAGGAGACAACATGACCGTGAAATAGGCATAAAGACGTTTTCAAAATGTAATGAGGAGGCTTTGAGCAGATACCATAACTCAAAAAGACAGACAAATCAATGTTTGTCATTTGATTAGCTATACTAATACCTCAAAAATGCAGGGTTTTTCATGGCAGATTTTTAGATATCTGAAAAGCACAGGTGAATCTAGTAACGACTGTATCCATTTCGGCGAGTCACTTCAAAGGCCCTGCTGTCGACTGTCACTGGCCTGGCTTTCTGGGACCGTCTATGACCATAACACATGAAGGAATAGCGACCTGTACTTTTCTATTGAGGCCAGCAGGGGGCAGACTAACCCAATACAGAAACACATACATACTTTCACCGTAGCTAGGTTAAAGTGACATGAACTGTTAAAGGCAGACACTAGAAACATGTTTTTATTACCATTCAAGTGTGAAAAAAACAAACATTGAAGAGATTTAAATTTCTTCCTAAAAAATATCCTCTATTTCTATACATTTCTAATACATGTTCAGCATGAACCAAATATTGTTTCACACATATAGTTCATTCATAAAATAACTGCAGCTAGCTATGGTTGGTAAATAATGCAACTCCTTTACAATTTGTTACTGTTACAGCGGTCTCAACACATTTTCCAAGACACTCTTCTGTTCAGAGAAAATATCGACTTGCTCATCTATACCTACCATTTCTATCTGTCTTATCAGTGTTTTGTCTCATAATTCAGATTTTTCCGGTAGCCATGAAGGCAGCATCTGCCTCCGCTTCCAGTCTCCGGTCCGCGCAGGCGCACTGTCCTCCTGTAAGCAAGAGGAGCACGGTGCGTGTTAATCACAGTCATTGGCCATTTCGTCACAGCCTCATTTTTTACATCTGAATCATTTGGCAAATTTTCAGATGTAGGTGGGGTGGAATAGATCTTTATCTGTGCTCTGGATGCTTAAAAAAATACGCACTTCTACATACAAAATACCTTTACTTTACTGTTTTAAAAACTATCAGGATTATAGCCCCCAAACTGTATTTTGTTTTTAATCTATAAGGCTAATGTGCTGTCTTCCTTTTCTGCCCTTGTTGTATTACCACTGGATATGTGTCTTATACCCTTGTACATTTACTATGGTATTGTTGTGAATTAATAGGATACTGTATAAATCTGACTCTGAGCACCCCTTGCTGGAATTATAATTAATTACACCGGTGCCACATCAGAGGGTTAAATCATAGCAGATCATTGTGCTGGGAGATAAAGGAGAACAATTAAATATCACAATATTTTTGACCAAATACCAATATTGTAGGGTTAAAATATTTACACAATAACATTTTTGATAAATAATGATCAGTGATGTGGATGTAATGACTAGCTTAATTGGCTAAAGGAAAATAATAGAACAGATAAAACAGTCCAGTAAGTTCAGAAGATGACATCCCTTTACTGTAATGCAACCTTAAAAACCAGGAAAATACTTTACACCACCGTGCAGCCCGTATATGAACATATACATGTTGTTTTTTTCACATGATTATGGACACTTTTATTGAGACACATGGATGTATTTTGTTTATAGTCCTTATTTTGTAATGTTGTACTTGTTAAAAAGGGTATGGGTACTCTTTGGCTTTCATGTGTCCATCAATCTCTATTTGTATGTGTGTGTGTCTGTGAGTGTATTAGGACCTGAATCAGAAGCTTCTAGCCAGTACAGCGAAGCTGCAGGAGGAGTAGACCTCCATGAAGCATGAGTAGACCACTCTGGCCATCATGGGCCAGTTTGCTGTCTGAAGAGAAATGCTTCAGCAACCTTGCCAAAAACACAAACAGGGTGAGTACAGAACAGACATAGGAAGTGGAAAACACATCCAGACAACATCAGGTTGCAGGATGGTTTGTTGTCCTCTCAGACCACTCTTCAGTCAGGTGATTAAACCTCTCCATATTCTTAAGCAAGGCAGTGAATCCCCTTGAGCCGTCGGGGAATCGTGTGGCTGACCTGGACCTCTGGTCTGCCACTTTATGGGAGTACACGATGTAAAGGAGAACCTGCAGACCCAGGCCTAACCACAAGAGGCAGTAGAGCATCAGACACAACACAGGTGTGTTGGAATCTGATATTTAACTGCATTTATTTCAAGTATTGTGTAATGTTACAGGGGGGAAAACATATTATTATATTATTGTTTGATTCTGGTTTTTATTTACTTTTCATCCAGCGGTTTCAAGGACACAATGTACTGTAAAGATATGTTACGGACTATGTTGGACCCAGTAACACATACATTATGTTTCATCAAATTATGATGAGTCTGCATCAAATGCCAACGTGTACACTGGACGGTAATGGTGATTATGTCTGACACAGTTCCGCTCAAAACATTATCATTAAACTGTGAAAATAGATTATACAGAGCTGCTACTAAAAGTAATGTACAGATTATAATAATATGTTAATGATAGATTTATCAAGAATCATAGATGTATTGTACAATGTAATGTAGTATATTTAGTGGATATTTTAGGTAGTCCACAGTGTTTTAGTGGGCATGTAGTTCACAAGGAAGCACTGTAACTCCTCATCTCAGTGTCAATGAAAATGTGGGACCTATTTTACCATTTTAAAGGCCATGATCACAAATATTTTATATTTATATATATAAAAAACAGTGTTCTGTAACATTTCACGAGCAAAGACCACACGATGAACAAGATGGTAGCTTCAGTTGTTAATATTTAAAGTTACCCCCTCCAAACGTGGAACAATTTTTAGTTAAAGAGAGGATTAATAATGATAATTATGTTCAGTTTTCACACATCAGAAGATCTCATCGGAAAACCCCTTTTCCCTCACAGACCTGTAAGACAGGAGCAGGGGGAATCCCATTGTATCTGTGGCTAACTACTGTACTTCCTCGAAGCAGAGAACTCATAAATTCAACAGCAGTTTAATTAATCATTACTTTATACAGACTAAGGCTTTCAGATGAAGTTTTTGCAGGAATGATTATAGTATGATTTTACTTCACCTAAAGGGTGAATTGAGAAAACCAAGTTGGCTTTAGGTAAGCTGGAAATTGTTCTAAACTGAGTAACGATAAGACTAGCATCATGTTTCTAAAGAGGAAGACATTTCACAAAAGTAAGTGTTACTTTTATGATTTGGTGACATTTATGATGTTCATGACAGCCAGTTATTGTAAATGACAATAGACACCGTCCTGTGCTTTGTAGTGTGAGATAAAGGATAAGCACTCAGAAGTAGACCGGTTGCATATCTGCATATCTTTTTATTTATTGGTGCATTCTGAAGAAAATCATAAACACAGCAAATTATCAGCTTGGTCTTTTACTTCCTGATTCCTCAAACAAGGTTGTCTTTGTCATAGCAGCTGAGCACGGATACACAGAATACAAGTACTTGGTTTCTGTACAAGCAGCACACGGTACACAGGAGCGTTGGAAGGGCTGTACTTTCAGGCTGGAAGAGGTAAAAGAGTAAATGGTGTCTCAAATGAATGATGAATGGAGTTGGTTTACATATTTTGGAAGGAATTAATTAACATTATTTATTGAAATGCATGTTGTTGTTTTTTTTAAAGATTTAACTCATGGATTATGGGCTGATCATCTTTGTGCTCACAGGTTGGTACCTTTTGTTAGATTATTCTGGCTGTCTTTTTAACTTAAACAGTCTTTACTCAGTGCTGCATATACAGTAGGTATTTCTGCATTGGGTGGAACTGAGAAAAAAAGAGGACAACTTATTGTTTGTTAATTAATCAGTTGTTTTATACAATACATGTATTCCTGTAAAGATTTTTTAAGTACAGAAACTGTTTTATTTTTTTATTTTTCATACATAGACCATTGATTCAGATAAGGGAAAACTCCCCAAAAAATGTAACAAAGAAAGAATGGAATAAACATCAAGAAGACTACACAAGGAAAGTATCCCTCTCCTAGGACGGACAGACATGCAATAGATGTGTGTACAGAATAACCAACATAAGGAAATTACAGTATGACAAAAATAAAGATAGATTGTAAACGGAAGAAGAATATGGATCCGGGAGGACATCTACAGGGCAACATCAGGTGTTGCCAAACAACAAAGTTGTAAATGAAGAATATGGTACACTGACTAAGAAAGTCAATTAATAGATTATATAATAAAATTGATATTTCGTTCACATTTTATTTAAAAGTGGCTTTTCTTTAAAATCTTACTGGAGTCCAATGCCTTGATAGTTCAGTTTCCCCCAGGTAGTTGAACTGGTTCTCCTTCTGTCGTCTGGGATGAGCAGTAAACAATGCTTCACTGAGACGGACTGAAACTTGATCCGACTCAAGCTGAATGGCAAAATGTGAATCAATGTGAAGTGAGGCATTCATTTTTAGTCATAATACAGCACAACCCAGTCAAGGAAAGGGTGGGGAGGGAGGGTTAATTTTCACAGCTATTTAGATGAGAGTTAGCTCACAAAAATCTCATTTGATGCACTTTATTATGAACATTGAGAGTCTACATACCTTATGAAAAAGCAAGGTTTAATTGACAAACTGAATATGCTTTGTTTTAGGAGCACTGGTCTATGTTGTCTCTGCACAAACTCGTCAGTACTCCTTTGTGAGCACGCCACTGAACTGGACTGAAGCGCAGAGCGTCTGCAGACAGGTCTACACTGACCTGGCCACCACGGAAAGCACAGCTGACGTCAGCGCCATTATCAGCACCACATCAAACTACACAGGCACGTTCTCAATATTGGTATCATATGCATCACGTATTTACATACAGTACATGTCGAACACACATACACAGCAGTCAGGGGAAAATCGTTTTCCAAAAGTTTTTTTGATAATCTTACTACGAATTGATAAAATTATGAAATGTGATAATATGGAATGTGACGACAGAAGCCCTCAATGAATAATAAAGGAGGCACATAATTTAAGTGATGCTCAGTAAAATCATTTACTTTTCATGTCTATTCAACATTTGTGAATGAACATCTTTGAACAGGCGATGCTTGGATAGGTCTCCATGATGGCAGCTGGAGATGGTCCCTGAGTGACAGCAACGTTTATGCCGAAGGAGAGACGGAGTTTAGAAACTGGTATCCTGGTTTTCCCAGAAATTTCGGAGGGCAACAGTCCTGTGTGGTGCTTCTTTCTGGGAATGGATTATTTGGCACTTGGGCAAACATTAATTGCAGTTACCAACAAGGCTTTGTGTGCTACAACGGTGAGTTTTCTGACTTAAGAAAAAGCCCATTAGATCCACGACTTAATTTTATTTATTTATAAAAAAATCTGGCCACTTCTATGTATTTGTTATATTTGTGGAGGTGACATAATGTTCCTTCCCACTGAATCAAAATCAAAATGAGCAAATGGGGTGTCTGTGATTTCATCCTGATATTGTTTATAATTCCTTTTCATCCATATATATATCCAGGTACCGTAAATGACACATCATCCTTCGTTAAGGTTGACATATATTCAAATTGGACAGAAGCTCAGAGATTCTGCAGGGAGAATTATGTCGATCTTGCTAGGTACAGTACCCTTTTAATCACTCTCTTCCTGTTTATGTTTCTTGCTTTGCCTCTAAGTTAAGTTAATCTTTAATTATATGAGTGTAAATAACTTGTATCTGAGTCATGAGTCATAAGGTATGATTAGGATCATGCTGCTGTTTCTCTCTCAGTATTCGAAATCAGACGGACAATGTCACCATCAGCAACCTGACAGCTGGGGACTTTGTGTGGATCGGTCTGCACTGGGAAAAGCTGTGGTCTGATGGGAGCTCTTCTCTGTTTCGACACTGGGCCAACGGGCAACCAGACTCTGACGCAGAGGGATGTGTCTCCACAGCGTTCAATGACTCAGGACGGTGGTCTGATAATAACTGCTCCCTCAGTTTCCCATTCATCTGTTACACAACAAGTAATGTTACTTATTTCTGCTCACAGACTATATACAAGTTACAAGTTGTCTGCATAGGATTACAACTTCTCAGAAGGTCTTACTATTCTGTTATACAGCCCACTGTCTTATAAGTTGTCCTTTTTGTCCCAGTTCCCTTCAGATCATCAGGACAAGATGAGACCAGCATCACTCTGCAGTGGAATAAAGTGAACACCAATGTCAGCTTTATTCTCCAGTTTAATGGTACAGAGATAAACATCACTGCACCAGATGGAGACGGACCAGTAACTCACACAGTCTCATCTCTCACTGCTGGAACTAAAYACACATTCACTCTCTTCTCTGTGTTTGAGAGCGTCAGAAGCAGTGGAGTCAACWTTACTGCAGTCACTGGTAAGATATACAACTTATTCAATGAGTTTTTATCCAGGCGTAACACTGTTGTTCTCTGAAACACATGCCAGTATACCTGATGATTAAATATATATTTGAATGGCATGTGTAACACAGTAATGGTTTAATGGCTAACTTGTGATTAATGGGGTTAGTTACAGTGTAGTATTGGTCACCACCTATTGAGTTCAAGTTGCATCTGCAAAATTAGTTTCAGCAACAAAAGTCGAAACGGAACATAATGTTGGTGAAAGTTGATTTCTTTCCTTGTTGTTTGAAGTTTCAAACAAGTTCAGATAATAAATCATTATATTTTAACATAGAGGAATTTATACATCAGATTTTCAAAGGTAATTAACACAATATTAATTCATCTTTACGTATTCCTCTCTCCATGTAAACAAACACCACCTTGCCAAAACATCTCTGACTATGCGTCCTACAACAAAAGGGCCTCGTAAGTAAATGCATTTTATTTTATTGATATCTCAGATATATTATTTTCATCCTATATTTTTTGTATTTGTTATGATTTTTTAGATGTGCTTCAACTGTTGCCAAAAAGAGAAACTAGGCTGCTCTTCCCTAGGTTTACAATAAACCAGAAATTAAATCCTTGCTTTACAATTGTGTAAATGCATGAAATCTAAAAATGATTGGAATGTTTTAAGTGTTATTGTGTACAGATAATATGTCAGATGTCTTTGGTAAAGCTACAGTACAAACATTTGATGTGTGTCATTTGTTAGCATAATTTCTTTAACCATAATAATTTATTGTTATTATATTAAAAATGATCTTAAACTTAATTATATTAATGGAAAACTATCCATTTTATCATCATGTGTTTTATGTCATGGTTTTGTGTCAACAGATTATGTTGTTGGATTGAACATGAGAGTAGAGTCATCTGTTCAGCTGTCAGAGTTGGACATGCAGGATTTGTTGATGGAGGTGAGACTAACTGCTGTTTCATGACTAGTTTGTGTACACTTCAGTCAAATATTGTACAAATTATTTAGCTCTGTATTAACATTGTTGTCTGTTGTGATTTTTGTCTTTAAATCTAGTTCTTCAACCGATACGGATTGTCGCCACAGTTGTCAGTGAAGATTCTATCTGTGGGGCCATGAGACCAGCGGACGAAAGACTAGATTTAAAGGAGGTGAAAGGGTCTGCTATGCAACAAAAATATTGAAATCTTTTTGATTATTTCGACTTCAAAAAAATATGTTTTATCAGATTCCAGTGAAATGTAGTTTGACCTATTTGGAGAATATTCTTAAATTTAAGACATGGCTCATCCCAAGTACTTATAATTACTGCATAACCCTGTACTACACACTAATTCATCATGTTATACTGTTTTCGCTGTTAGCACACAAAACTGATCAACATACTGTTACCATTTTATACTGCCATCAAACTGCTACTTTGCAATGGACTGGAAATTAAACTTTTGTTCAGCGAAAGCCGAATAGCTTTCTCTCTCTGGATTATGTTGTTTTTTGGAGCTGTTTCCCCACCGCTCACTTTTTCAGCTCTGCACTGGCGACAGCCGTGGCCGGAGGCATTATTTTTTCGGGTTGACCGTCCCATTCTCGTGAACATAATATCTCAGGAACACCTGGAGGGAATTTGTTTGGCACAAATGTAAAGTCAAGGGGCTTTACAATCTGTACAGCAAACAACATCTTCTATCCTTAGACCCTCGACTCGTGTTAGGAACAACTCCCAGGCTGTAATCTTGCCCTTCATTCTTCTCTCTGCAACAAGCTGCCAATCTGCCACAGCTTGTTGTACAGAGGGTGGGAAGGATTATCCAAGATGGCTTTAATTTAGTCCCTCGTTCTCTGCTCTGTCCCTTCTGAAGGGGACTTCAGTGTTGTGAGTCCAGTCCAGGTTTTCGTTGATTTGGCCCTAAGGTAATTATGTGTATGAGTCCACCCACTTAACCTCGCTCTGGATGTAACCAGGACAGGGGTTCTCCCGTTCATCTGGCTTTCCACCACAAGCTCATTGGTTTTGCTGATACTGAGCTTCAGGAGATTGTTGTTGCACAATGTGATGAAGCTCTCTATCAGTCCTCTGTACTTCTCTGTATTCTTATTGTTACAGTGTTGTGAAAATGTGTGTAAATGTATGTATTATGTTTCTGTCCATTTGAAACAAAAAGGCTTGGAATGGTGAAGTGAAATAAAAATGTATTATACAATACAATACAAAGGAATTCTATACAAACCCAGTGAGGCACCTGATCTAGGCATTACTCCTCCCACCCTGGAACAACATGGTGGTTGATAGCTTAGACCCAGAGGGAGTGGTAACAGCGAAACCCGGGAGGACTTTGGCTTCACAACCGCAGTGCCAGTGTTTGCCTTTGCTAACTCAGAGGTCACGTTTCACATTCAGCAACAAGGTAAGACCAAAATAATATAGCAGATAGGTATATGTTAATATTTTGTAAATCTTTTGATGAAACAAATACAATCATTTTAAGAATGTCTCAGTTTTTGTTTTGTCAGGCAGAATAAATGGAATATAATAGGGACTAATATTTGAAGCCATTAGTCTTCATCCCTGGTGGGGTGTGCAGTGAATTATGGGAGTGTGGTACTTGGAAACATTTGCAGGGCGATGCATGTTAGTCTTTGGATTGTAACGGGTCTGTTCAATCCGTGTTTCAAGCTAAATTTACAGAGTGGCTGAGTCATGTGACCGTGCAGCTGGACTTTGGCCAGTGTGCTTTGAATTGTTTCAAGCTAATGATAAAGAAGTTAAGATGTTTCTGGTTATAAACGTAATTACAGTACCTGAAGACCATAAGGACAAAAGTTCTGAAAGATTTAGTGGCTCTTTATTCTTTAAAAGAGGATTGTAAATCTCGCCAAATCACTTTTCCTCTGTGACTCAGAATGTAAATAATTAATTTCTTATTCATAACCAGTGAACAGATCTTCTTTCTGAGGGCATGGCCTCCCCCAGTGTTCTCCTGTCAGAGGTGCAGTTTAAGTGTTGCATCTGTCTGGAGGTTTTCTTTGAGCCGGTCTCCATCCCCTGCGGTCACAGCTTCTGCTTCACCTGTATCACATCACACTGGGACAACAGCCATGCCGTCAGCTGTCCCAAGTGTCAGACAGCCTTTGAGGGCCGCCCAGAGCTTTGTGAAAACTCCTTCGCCAAGGAAATGTCAGAGCAGATCCGAGCAATAAGGCAGAACGGCGTGATGTCAATGGCAGGAAAATTCATATATTGTGATGTGTGCGTGGGGAAGCAAACAGAGGCCCTGAAGTCCTGCCTTGTATGTCTGACCTCATATTGTGAGAGTCACCTGGAGCCCCATCTGAGAGTTGCCACCTTGAAGATACACAAGCTGATTGAACCCGTGGCAATGCTGGAGAACCGGATGTGTAAAAGGCACCAAAGGCTTCTGGAGTTGTTCTGCAGGAGCGACCAGAGGTGTGTGTGCGTGCTGTGCACAGAGAGCGACCACCGCTGTCATGACACCGTCCCAGTGGAGCGAGAGAGTAAGGAGAAGAAGGTGAGGTCCGAAACTCAAACATCATCATTGTGCAATCATCCCATCAAATACATTGGACTTTGATTTATTTTTAGTTTCAATTACTGTTCCAATGTTCAGGCTCAGATGAAAAGGATCGAGGCTGATGTGCAGCAGATGATCCAGGACAGACTGCAGAAAGTGGAGGAGATCAGACACTCGGTGGAGCTCAGCAAAGTGAGTTGACATAAGATCATAGAACAGCTTAAGTGAGTGTTTCCTGTTGGATAAATTGGGCATTTGTAGAACAGTTAAAACAGCCTATCTATAAGAATGTAAGAAAAGAGGCAGAACACATTCAAGAGTGTGTGCATAGCAGAAAAAGTATTAGTACCACTACAGTGATAATCGCAAAACATGTATATTAATGTATCATTATTCTGCTGAGGAACTATGTATTCATACTAATACCATATGCTACGTATTGCCAGTGCTTCTACTTAAAGGAGCTGTATTTAACATTCTGAACATTAATATAGCAGCAAGCAACTATTATCCATGTAAAGAGATATTGTAGTAATGTCTACCTGAGCAGCAGAGAAGGAAGTCACACTCCCTCTGTGTGCCATGTTATCCTTGTACATCCACGTTATAACCTGAGCACAGAGAAGCTGTCAGGACATGAATGTAAAAAGAGTTTTCTGGTGTCAAACTGCAACATTCAACTTTTTTTTCATTATTCAATGTCTTCAGGAAAGCTCAAAGAGAGACATAGTGGAAAGCACGGAGGTCCTCTGCATTCTCTTTCGTTCCTTGGAGACACGTCAGGCAAAGCTGGTGGAGATGATCCAGAGGAAGCAGGCAGCAGCAGAGCAGAGGGCGGAGAGGCTCATCACAGAGCTGGAGCTGGAAATCACTGAGCTGGAGAGGAAGAGAAGAGAAATGGAGCAGCTTTCTCACACTGAGGACCACCTCAATCTTCTGCAGGTGAGGAGTCGTCTCACAGCGAGATATTTAATAGTCATACAAACAGAGATTCCAAAGAGCATTCTAAAAGATGTACGGACTGGAGTGAAGTTGTTGTTGTCGTATATCTTTATTTCCGTCTCATCTCTCATCTTGTCTGGCCTCTTTTCTGCTTTTTTCTCTCTTATTTGACTTGTCAGAGGTTTCCTGCTCTGAGTTGTCCTTCATCTGTCAAAGCCTGCACTGACATCATCGTCCATACAGACACATGTTTGGGGATTGTAAGGAGAGAGGTGGCCAACATTGAACAGCAGCTTCAATCAGCTTTGAAAAAGCTTTCCATTCAAGGTCAACTTCTAAGATTTTTCTTCAGCATCACTACATTCTGTGAGAATACAGCCGCTTACATTTAATCAATAAATTAATATTTGTTTCATTTTTGACCATGGGGTCTTATTGACTTACAGAGCACGAGAAGATGCAGCAGTATGCAGGTAAAGTTAGACAGTAAAACAATAATAGTCTCTAACATTGTTCAGCATATCGGTGTTCTCTCTCTCTCTCGCTCTCGCTCGCTCTCTCTCTCTCTCTCTCATACCTTTTTTCCTGTTTCTCAACTGAATTAAAACATAATGTGCCTTGAATAAAATCATAAAATACTGTATCAATGAGAAGACAAAATTAGAGAACAGTGGACTAGAAATCTGACATATTAGTGATCATAACATCTGAAAAGGTTTAGGGCTGAAGGTAAAAATGATTCTCACTATTTTTTGATTATGACAACGCATGCCACAGGATACTTACAGAAACTGCAAACTGGCATGCAACTGGATATTACCTGCATTTGTAACACTTGAGTATTTTTCTGGACACCTCAACTGATGGAAACCACAAACAAAAAGAATAATTAAATCTTTGGAGAAAGGGGATAATGAAGTTAAAAATCCTACGTCTGTCTAACAGTGGATGTTCATCTGGACCCCAAGACAGCCAACTCTTGGCTGGTTCTATCACAGGATGGGAGACAGGTCTGGGATGGAGATGTTGAACAGAACCTGCTGGACATACCAGAGCGTTTTGACAGGGCACCATGTGTCCTTGCCACAAGGGTAAATAACGCTGTGGTTTGTATGTGTTTACCCTTGTAGGGACGTTATGTCTTTCTGCTTCACTCTTAGAGATGAACAGTGTCAGTGACCTGAGCCTCTCTTGCTACGCAGGGTTTCACCAGTGGGAGGCACTACTGGGAGGTAGACGTGGGAGATAAAACAGCGTGGGACTTGGGTGTGGCTCGACAGTCGATCAACAGGAAAGGTGTGGTCACACTGAGTCCAGAGGACGGTTATTGGACTATTTGCTTGAGGAAGGGCAGTGAGTACCGGGCATGTGCAGGACAGGCAGAACGTCTGTGTCTCTCTCAGAGGCCCCAGGTTGTTGGGGTGTTTTTGGATTACGAGGACGGCACGATGTCCTTCTATGATGCAGATGCCAAGTCACACATCTATTCCTTCACACAGCTCCAGTTCACCGAGGCCATGTTTCCCTTTTTTAACCCAGATATGTGTGACAGCGGCAGCAACACATCACCACTTATTGTCCGCCCGCTCAGTGGAGTCAATGGAAGCAGGGATTTAGATGACATTACAATATGATGCGAAATGTATATTTACTGTCTGTTTATATGTCATGGTATTTTATTTCAAACATAATATATATATAATATATAAAACTGTTCTCTCTGTTGATGTGAACACTTTTTTTTTAAATGAAAGAATTTGTGCTCAGTTGACAACAATAACTTTCACATATGGATCATACATAACCATTCTGACTTGCCCCACTCCCCCAATAAACTGATGTATCTGTTGTATATGCTTACCTCTCCTCCTCCTCTTTCTTCTTCCCTTCATCTGTGCTCACTACAGATCTTAGACCTGCCTTACTTCAATAATAACCATGCTCCGTCATCACAGACCAACCACACAACTGACTCCAGAACACCTCTTAGATTGTACAGTTTGACAACTGCTAATCAGATTAGGACATGGATAGGATTAGCCTCAAGGCAGATGGAGCGCTGAGACAGTTTCAGGATTTAGCCCTTGGTGGAGGCATTATGCACACACAGAGTACTGCACACTCACAGGTATGTCGTGGAACTAAATGCATGCACACAAACACAGTGATTGCAAGTAACTATTTAACACTCTGGTGAGTTCCTTAAAGAATTAGGAAATATATAAAGAGAGAGCTAAAAGGTGTCGGGGAAGGAATATGAGATGAAGAGGGATTAAAACCGCTATCATTCAAGCTCAGGGCGGAGACTCATGTAGAGAGCTTACATGTTGCACTTTAGTCCATACTGAAGCAAGAACACTCCTTATAAACCTCTTTGGATGGCCGACAGACAAGGGTAAGTCAAATAGCATGTTAATATAGTTTTCTATGTTGATGTCGGTTACTGTAGGAAGGAATATCAAAATGTAAACCAATGTCCTACCAGTAGGATCCCTGGCATTCACTAATTGTGCAGCAATGTAGATTTTAAAACGGCAAACACGTTTGGGAATTGCCATATTTTGCTGATGACTTCATTGAAAAATAACAGGGAAGCTTGGGGATGACAACTTCTCCAGGCTTGAGCAGATGAGCAGAGTGTTTTTCACTGAAGAAAAGTATATCTGCAACTGAGAAAATACACAGACCTTCATTTTCTGCCTTTTGCCATTAACTGGGATTAAGTGTATCTGTATTTGTGCCTTGTTAAGCCCCACATTGCTTGAAATACTAGGAAAGAAATCCTTTTTTAAGCTCCTAAATTTACACAAATGTAAATATGACAAGTTATGGTCAGAATATTGAATTTTGGTTTCTCTGACTTACAGAGTCCTAAGAACCTTTCATATGGATGGAGGCCAGCGAACCAGCAGTGGATATCAATATGACAAGTTTACTGCTGTGACGTTTCAAAGGCCAGAGCTGAGTGGAGAGGTGTGAAGTCGCCAGTGATGGATGAGACAGCCGAGGACCTCCCAGTCAGAGATGTGGGACTGATGAGGTCGGGACTGATGCCAACTGCCCCAGGTTTGTGTATAGTCTTTTGGCAGTATGATAAACTATATTTATTTGCTCTGCTGTGCTATAACTTGTAATATCCTCAAGCCATGGCATATATTTCCAGTGTAAACGGGAAGGGTTTAACATCATAAATATGAAGTTTTTTTCTGCCAATGTTGTCAACAAAAACAAAGCTGGTCTCATTTTAGTATCACTCAACATGAATAATATGACAGTGTTACCATAGAGCAACAGAGCAAATTATCTAATGAGGACACATCAGTGATGTGTATATTCTCAAGAAATATCCAGTGAGCTACAGTAACTTTAAGTTAAGTTGGGGTATTTAGTTGTAAAAGTGAAGGTTAGGGGTTGAGGGAATTCATTGACTCAAAGGACCTTGGGAATTCTGCAATAGAAGTGCATTTCTTTATATTTGTGTAAATACATATAGACGGTCTTGACTAAATCTGTATGTTTCCTCCAGATACTCTACGTGATGTGAAGACATGGAAGAAGCATCATGCCACGAAGACAAAAGGTAAAACCACTATATAAAATTCACCCTTTCAGTTCATCCAACTCAGATTTTCAGACATTCAATCAAAAGCATTCAAAAGTACATTTTCATAAACGTGCAAAATTTTGGCTACCTCGCTCTCTCTTCAGCAGATCCTCAGCGCCTGTTTCGGTTTCCCAGAGAGCACCTGGAGGACTTGTGTCTCAGACTGCAAGAGGAAAACAGTGTGCTAAGACAACACACTCGTACACAGGAGATGAGGCTACGCAGGTAACAGAAACATTGACACTGACTGTACCTAACACAAGATACTTTGGCGGAATAGGGCACATCACTGTGCTGTCCCACACTAGCTGTTACAATCATCTCTGTTGTGGCCCTAGGATGTGATTTAAAGATATATATGACAAAGACAAGTCCCCTAATATGGCTGATTTGCCCTCCTCTTCCTTGACTCAGGATGTCTACCAGACTGATGCGTCTCCGCCAGCTCCGTCCTGGATCCAATTGTGTGAAGGAGAGGGACATGGAGGACACCATACAGGAGCTGGAAGCCCGTGTGGCTATGCTGGAGAACCAAAAAGGGTTGCTGCAGAACAAACTCAGCCTGGCCAAGCAGCACTTTATGGACCTCGGGGGACGCACGCCCTACAAGTTCAGTAAAGGTGTGTATGTTTTAGATGATTGTAAGCCAGGGTAACTACTGTTTCCTCTTCCATCTCTGACCTTCCTCCCTCTCTTCTTCTTCTCTCACGTGTCAGGTAAATGTATGGAAGTGGAGGGCGGAGTCAGGAGGGCAGCCCAGACTGCCCCGCCCCGCTACGGCCCCACGTTGGAAGACACCAGGGCAGAGATGGAGAGATTGTACGTGTGTGATGTTCAGAACACAGAGCAGATGTTTTCTAACCTCTGATCATATCATTATCCAACTTTCATTCTGCTACCTGACTCTTACTTTCTCCTCTATCCCCCCCCTTACCTCCAAACCCCCTCATGACTCCATGCTGACCTCCCTCTAACCTCCCAGCAGGTCCAGTGTAACCGAGCAGGTGAGGACTGCAGAGCTGGAGCTGACTGCCCAGGCGCTCAGAGACACACTGCGAGAGAAAGAGAGAGAGATAGAGGGAACTGTGAGAGACATAAGGAAGCAACAGGCTGACAGACACAGGTGGCTACAGCAGACTTGCAAATACTAATATAATGGCTTTCTTTTGTGTTTTCCTACTTTTTGGAGTGTATTTATAAATTTGTCGCTATTTGAATACAGTGGCTGAACTGTGGTGTAGCCCCACAGCAAGAAGGGCTTGGGTTTGATTCCCGGACTGGACGCCCCCCCCCCCCCCCTCCGTAACCCTGAACAGGATAAGCGGTTAAAGATAACACAGTGTACTTTGCTACAGTTGAAATGAAAACAATGATACCATTCTTAGTCAGGCAAGAGGAGAAGCGTAATCTGTTTTTACTGCCAATTTGCCTTTTCAAACAATCCTGTTTGAAAGCTGTCCTGTACTACATAAGCAGGACATTGCAGTGGTCTTTCCACTACTAGACACTATTTTTGGCAGCTGCTTGTCAATTCAAATAATAAATCCTGTTGCTGTCTCCATGTCAGAATAACTATTAGAGAGAATATGGATCTGATCCGTCTTCAAAAGCAGCTTTCAGACAAGAGCACCGCTCTGAGAGTCACACAGGAGAAGTTCAACAACCTGCAGGAGGTTAGATGACCTTATTTGTCTATAAATCATTCTTTTTTTTGTAATTACAGTAGCTTAAGAATTCAGGTTCAGTACTTTAGTCACTTACACATATATGTCATTGGTCGTCAAAAGACAAATATGTAAATGTGCCTTTCTTCTTTCCTTCCAGGCATATGAGAATCAGCTCGAGGAGGTAAATGCCCCGCTACACAAACAGCTTTATGAATACCTGTAGTAGTCTGATACTTACTCATATTCATTTTGAGTGTCATGTGTTCACCCCAGCGTCAGAGGTCAATGAGGGAAAGCCATGGAGCTCTGCTGGAGAAAGTGGAGGAGCTGACTGAACAGCTGAAGCAGGAGAGAGAGAGAGCACTGGCACTGGAGGGACAACTCACCACTGCTACCCTGTCTCTACAGACCCTGGACAAGGTATCGCATCTGGCATGTATAAATCCAGAGTAAGAAAGGCTCAAGATTATGAAACCTGTTTTTTCATATAATTTATTCTCTCTCTTTCATCTACAGGACCGTATATCAGACCTGGAGGGAGAGAGGGATCTAATAAAAGAAAACTATGACACTCTGATAGAGAGGTGAGAGTTAAAGTCTTCTAGGCCCTGATGTTATGGTGCTCATTAACCAGGGGGTTTGAGGGATCATACCTTGGCTTCTCTGGAAATTGCACAGTAAATGCAAGTTGCCTTGCAGGAGCAGCAGAACATGACTTTAGATCAGATTTATGTCGATATGGAAACGTCTTTACTTATTTGAGGAATACACATGTACAGTAGTCCTAACATATGAGAATGATTTCTGAGCGTAGTTTTGTGTTTCACCTTGTAATTTTATATCCACCCTTTTCCTTTCTAGTACTTTATCTGTGCAAAGCAATCACGATGGCAAGGTGGAACAACATAGAGAAGTGAACCAAAGGAGGGAGGAACAGGGAGAACACATCAGCAGGATGGACATCCGGAGACTTGAAGAAATGCTGCAAGCAGAGAGGGGTGAGAGAGGCAGGCTGGAGCTGGAGAAGGAGAAACTGAGAAGAGAGAAGGAGATATTGGAGGAGGAGAGAGAGTGCGAAAGAGGTAGGAGTCTCAGCATGGTGGCACTGCATCTGCATCTGCTGCGGTTTGACATCGAGAAGGAATGGAGTTAGTTAAGGCAGAAATATAACACCTGAAGCCTCACCTCTTCCAGTGCCACAAGCAGACAGTATATTCATTTACAATATCATTTATTTACTTATTCGTCCTGTTGTTTCATTTAGACTCTTCTGTGATGACGATAGACAAGCGAGAGCATCTGGAACAGGAGGTTCTCCAGTACAGAAAGCAGATTTCTGCTTTACAGGACAGACTGGACTCTGTCACAAAGGTCAGAGATGAAGGACTGAATAATATACTGCTGAACAGCCGTTTCACACATCAGTCACTTATCTTATTTTCTGGGTGCTATCCTGTTTTTAGCACACGTTTCATCATCTTGCTTCTCTCTTCCAGGAGTTTGACATGAGTGTTGAGGAGCTCAGTGAAACTCTTATACAGATCAAGGTTTGCACACACTTTTCTTTTTAATTTCTTTCTTTTTTTTCCTCCGTTAGAACTGCTTTAAAAGCCAAACGTAATTGCATTGAAACCTTATTGCATTCTTTCCCTCCAACTACAGGCATTTAGGATGCAGCAGGAGAGCAGGGCGGGGCTGGGTTTTCTCTGGGCTGATGGGAAGGTGGAGGATTCGTCCCGTGAGCTGGTTAACATCCAGGCATCGCATGCTGAGACTGTGCTGGAATTACAGAAAACAAGAAGCCTTCTACTGGTGGAGCACCGTATCAGTAAAGACCTTCAGGTACACACACATACACAATGAACACATTTGTCAAACACATGTAAACTACACAAAATTGTAATCAGCATTGTTTTTCCTCCCATTTTAACTGAATTGGTCTTTGATCAAACTCTGATTCCCAAGGGAGAGTTGAACACAGTCAACCAGAAGATGGGAAGAGAGAGGGAGGAGAGTAGAAGGAGGAGCTCAGAGAAAGACAAACTTTTATCAAAAAGAGCTCTTCAGATCAACGCTTTACAAGGTATTAACAACACTCATTTCTATAGTACTACTAGAGCTAAGAGAACCCAACATAATTCCTAATCAGTTTCTTCTGTGCTGTGTATCACTGATTCATTGACATGGAGGAAGTGTTTGCAGTTTGTTCAGAAAAAAATCTGGGTATTAGCATCAGAATCTCAAAACAATTTTTTTTCTACTTGTACTCTGAAGCTCAGTTGAAAGAGTTAGCAT